GGGGGGAGGGGCGTCATAATGAGGGGAGGAGGGAACATGCCACGCTCCCCCAAAAGTGCGATTGTGGGTAATTCCAGGTTTGCCAAAAATCAGGTGGGGACAGGGATACTAGAAAGTTTTTAGTGGTAAAGCGGAGGGGAGTCAGAGAGGTGACCAGCCCAGAGTGGAGCAGGGGGATACGGGGTTCTCATCCCACTGCCCCCACCTCTCCCGCAGCCCGGCTGAGCCCCCGGTGCAGACTGGAGAGCTGGGAAAGGGCGTGCTCTAACTGGAGGGGCTAGGAGCCCCAAAGGGAGGAGACCACTGGGGTAGGGCGTGCTGCATGAGGGTCCGGACTTGGGGCCTGCTTCCGTGGGAGCCACTAGGCAGGCCCGGCAGCCCCAGGCCCATCGGGGACGCCCGTGGAAGGGAGAACGTGTGGCAGGACCGAGTGTGAGACAAGCCTGAGTGCGGGGAGCTCCCCGGAAGTGCGCAGGGTGCGGGGAGGCGCCACGTGATGGCAAACGTGTGCACTGCGGGCGGGCGAAGAGGCTGAACAGGCCTGCGGCGGACACGGGGCTGGGGGGGCAGAGTTCCGCAAGTAGGGCTGGTCAGCTACCCGTGCTGGGATCCCGAGAGGAGAGGCCGGGCCACACAGACCTGACGTCTTCAGCATCTGCTTTAATTTTTCTTTTTTCTAAAGGCACCTGGAAGCGAGTGAATGGAGAAGAAAGGCCAGGACGGGACTGGGAGCACCAAGGCCGCGGCCAGGCAACTCAAGGAAGGGGCTGTGGGGGCTCGTTCTGTGCAGAGATCTCCCCACCACTTCCTCCTGTGAAGGGAGAGCTCCACTCTGCAAGGCTCCACCACATTCATCATCTGACAGGTAATTCCCAAGTCCATGAAATTCCAGTTTCCCTTTAAAGCCCTCGGAAACCACAGTAAGTCCTTAGTAAATCTTTTGAAACCTTTTTAAGGAGAAACTCTAGAGGCCAAAGTGCTGCAAGCAAGGAAGCAAGGAGGCCATCCTGTAGGAATGCACCTTTCCGGTCTGGCCCCTCGGGGAGCCTGGCCTTAATGGCCAACGTTCAGAAAGCACCCGTGGCTGGGACAAGGTGGCTTATAAAATCAGGCTGTGAACCTGGAAGAGGCCACACGCACCAATTCCCACCACCAAGGCCTTGGCACAGCGAGCAGGAACGAAGCCTTACCACAGCGAAAGGGAAAGGGCCAGGGGTGTAGTGCTGGGTGTGAGCGTGGGGGAGGAGCCCGGTTTCCGGAAGGTTTAACGGGGACCAGTCATGTGGAACAGGACTGGCCTCTGACAGGGGCACACTCTTCAATCCTGTCCCCCGTTCAAAGCAGCATCTCACTGGAACCCATTCTGGCCACGCATTGTGCTCCATCTCAACACACACCCATCTCGTAAAGATGGAGACTCGTGCCGGTGCTTTGACAGTGGCTCGGCTTTGCCCAAAGGACTTCACAAATCCTGAACAGCCCAGGTTCTTTGATCTTTAGGGATTGCTAGTTTCCCCATTTGTTCAAAGGAGAATTCGTAGAGATTCCCCCACGGCTTCTGAGAACTAGTGATTTCAGGGAAAAAAGAGAAATGAAGATTTCCTGATAGTTCAGCCTCCAGCCCACAAACTCGAGTGGTAGGGAGCCCCTCTCTATGTGCTTGATGGAGCCAATACAGTGTATTCCGGATGGAAAATCTCATTTTGTATGCTGTAATGATGTACAGTGAATGAATGTAAATAAATAAATTTTAATTAAAAAAAGAAAAAAGAATTCATAAAGTAATTAGAACAGCAAATGTGAGCTACCATGTGCTTGGGGATCCCGGCACCAGTGTGACCTGCCCGGTGTGGGGGGTTTTCAGCAAGGGTGCAGGAGCACCTGACCCTCAGACAGCCGGATCAAACCCCCCCATCTCGTAAAGATGGAGACTCGTGCCGGTGCTTTGACAGTGGCTCGGCTTTGCCCAAAGGACTTCACAAATCCTGAACAGCCCAGGTTCTTTGATATTTAGGGATTGCTGGTTTCCCCATTTGTTCAAAGGAGAATTCGTAGAGATTCCCCCACGGCTTCTGAGAACTAGTGATTTCAGGGAAAAAAGAGAAATGAAGATTTCCTGATAGTTCAGCCTCCAGCCCACAAACTCGAGTGGTAGGGAGCCCCTCTCTATGTGCTTGATGGAGCCAATACAGTGTATTCCGGATGGAAAATCTCATTTTGTATGCTGTAATGATGTACAGTGAATGAATGTAAATAAATAAATTTTAATTAAAAAAAGAAAAAAGAATTCATAAAGTAATTAGAACAGCGAATGTGAGCTACCATGTGCTTGGGGATCCCGGCACCAGTGTGACCTGCCCGGTGTGGGGGGTTTTCAGCAAGGGTGCAGGAGCACCTGACCCTCAGACAGCCGGATCAGGCCAAGGCCCGCCGCTCCTGTTGTCAGAACTGTGGCCAATATGAGTTCCGGAATACTCCCAAGCCTGGGTTTTCCCCTCTGAGAACTGGGAAGAAAACGAGAACCTCTCTCCTGGAGCTGTCGGGAGGGTTAAATGAGATGATGTATATGAAGAGCTTAGCGCAGAGCCTGCCGAGTGCTCACTACATACTGGCTCTGTTTGTATGAGTAAGAACTGTCATCACTGAAGATGACCTTCCTAGTTCTACTAGCAATCACCGCTGTTCTGATGTCAGCGTTCGCGGTCTGCTGAGCTCATGGTGGCCAGCTCTAAAGCCAGCTTTTCTCTCCCCAAAGTTTCAAAGTCCTCCTGTGAAGATAGGCCCCAACTGAAAACTGCCCCTCAAGAACCACTGCCGACGGGTGGGTATACAGTGGCCGGTGAGGGTACACGGAGAGCCTGAGACCACTGCTCAGGCCCCCAACTTAACGCTCACCCCAGACTATGAGTTTAGCTCACGTGTGACATAACAACAAACACAAGGACAGCCTGAGAACCGTGTGTGGATTTGTGAGGAAAAAACAAATCACACTCGAGAACAGTGCCTTCGCTCTGGGTCCCTGGTATTTGTAATTCCTCTCCCAATTACCCACATCATACCAAGCTAACTTCCCTGGGTACACATCAAGTCTAAAACCTGAAGTTTCTCCCTAGGCGCATCCTATGCTCACATGGGACGTAAAGAGACATCTGTCGCTCTTTTTGTCGTCTCCAGCGCCGCCTTCACCCCTGCATGGGTTCTCCGGTGGGCGCTGAAGTGGGAGCTGTTATTGAAGTCTTTGCCGCACTCCGAGCACTTGTAGGGTTTCTCCCCGGTGTGGGTCCTCTGGTGAATGATGAGACTGGAGCTCTGGTTAAAGCACTTCCCGCACTCCCGGCACCTGTACGGCTTCTCTCCCGTGTGGATCCTCTGGTGGGTGATGAGGTTAGAGCGGTCACGGAAGAACTTCCCACACTCGAGGCACCTGTAGGGCTTCTCTCCCGTGTGCACCCTCTGGTGTGTGAGGAGCTTGGAGCGCTCGCTGAAGCTCTTCCCACAGTCCGCGCACTGGTACGGCTTCTCCCCGGTGTGGGTTCGCTGGTGGTTGGCCAGGGTGGAGCTCTTGCTGAAGCTCTTCCCGCACTCGGCACACTCGTACGGCCTCTCCCCCGTGTGGATTCTTTGGTGGCTAATGAGGGCAGAGCTCTTAGAGAAGCTTCTTCCACAGTCAGAACAGTGATAAAGCTTCGCCCCCGAGCTGCTGCTGTGCGGCCCAGGGGAACCCGAGTTCTTACTGGTGCGTGGGGGTTGTTCAGGAGAGGTCCCCCGTGTGGAATTCCTCCAGGGGATGCAAACGTTTCCCCCAGGCTCAGCACACTGGACTGGATTTCCTCCCGCGTGGGTTCTCTGGTGTTTCAGAAGGTTTGAGCTCTGGTTGAAGCTTTTCCAACACTCCCCACACTTATAGGGCTTCTCCCCCGTGTGGATCCGCTGGTGGGTGACGAGGTTGGAGTGGTCGCGAAAGCTTTCCCCACACTCGAGGCATCTGTAGGGCTTCTCCCCCCTGTGGGTTCTCTGGTGGGCGACGAGATCAGAGCGGTCAGTGAAGCTTGCCCCACACTCGAGGCATCTGTAGGGCCTCTCGCCGGTGTGGATCCGCTGGTGGGCGACGCAGTGGGAGCTCCGGCTGAAGCTCCTCACGCAGGTGTCACACCGGCAGGGTTTCTCCACGAGGTACAGGCCTTGCTGGTCTATCAGTTTCTCCAAGTCCTCTTCAGAAGAACATTCTTCCCAGCGTTCCTGTGGGGAATTTCCCCACTGCCCCTCACCCACGTTTTCATTTTCACTATCTTGTCCCCAACTGTTCGGCTGGCAAACAGCCCCTGTAGGACATTTCGACAAGGCTCCAGGCAAATCCTCGAACACGTCCTGGTCTGAAATCTGGCCTTCGTCCTCATGCCTCCTCTCCAAACCTGAAAGAATGAACGGAAAGTCTGTCGGTGCTCGTGCTTGGCATTCAGCACGTATCTGTATCGCGTGGCTTTGAATTTGTCTGACCCGAGTCTGTACCTAGCATCTCACAGCTTATAAATGCGACTAACTTGAAAGCGATCAGAGGTGGATACGTGTGCTTCTGACCTCACAACTGAAGAACAGAGTCTGGGACATGGTGACCCCATTGGTCTCCCAGCCAATTCCCGTCTCACTACTCAGTAAACACCTCCTTCTTCTATTGCGCTCGCTGTGTCCTGTCCCACGTAGGACTGAGTCCACTCTGCAACTGCCCAGATGGAGCCCAGGAGAATCTAGACTGACTGACCACCTCACCGGACAGGTTTGCACTAAGTGAAAACGGGATAATCTGAGCAAAGCACGAATCTGGCTCTCGCTCTTTCTACGTGCCTGTGGGCTCTGTGGCCATGCAATACTCCAGGCTTACCCGGGTCTAGGGTTTTAGGACATGGGGCTGGAGGTCTGACGGCATCTTCATCTGCCATCTCAGCCCAGACCTCCTGGTCGTCAGCCTCGGTACTGCTCTGCCCAGACCCAGAGAGGCCCGCAGCCTCCCTGACAGTTCCCATGGCCCGCACCGCGGCCCGAGCCCTCATCAGTGAGTCCAGCTCCTCATAGAAGGGGCACGTCCCGGGTGGGTGGCTGCTCTTGGCTTTCCGGTAGCTTCGAAGGAGGTTTTTGAATCTGTAGCGACACTGCTCCAGCGTCCGCAGGAAGCCCAGTGCACACAGCCGCTCTGCGATGGCCCGGTACACCTGGCTGTTCTGGTGACAGGTGCGAAGCTTTTCAGAGAATGGGGACTCGCTGAGAATTGCCAGGAAGATCTTGGTCTCCTCGTAGCCCCAGTGCACACCTGCTGTCAAGAGTGCAAAGTTCAACGGTATGAGACCTACTGGGCTTCACCTAGGTCATCGGGGTCAGGGTCACCTGCCCTTCTAAACAAACACCCAGAACGCCTGGGTCCTCAGGGAACGTGCCCTTGCTACTCAGCGGTGTGTGCTAGGAAAGATGGACACCAAGCCGCGCCCCACCCCTCCTAAGACTCTATGAACACTTAGTCTTGGCTGAGGGGAGGGCCTAGGTGGCCCTGCTGTCTCGGTTATATCAGGTGACCCGACTCCCCTGGCTTCAGCTGACTGGTTCAGGGAAACACCTTCGGGGCTATGTGAGATTCTCCCTGGACCCATTCAGTACATGCCCTCTACTTCCTTTATAAATTATCCTTTTCACAAAACACGAGAGCTGAACCCCTGAAGATTGGAGACATCTAGCATTCAAATAACCTGCAGTAGTCCAGCAGGAGCCACTGGGGAAGAGTCTCAGATGAGACTGCTGTGGTGAACGAGGTGGCCGGGGAAGGTGACAGTGCAGGGAAAGCACAGCCTCTGCTCCTGGCTCTGCCCCGACCTCTGCCCCTTGGAGAAGATGCTTCATCTCTTGGGCTTCAGGGTCTGCACCTCCACAGTGACTGGGTGCTTCCCACACACCGACTGAGCTAACCAGCCACGAATCCTCTCCGTTCAGTATTTCCCTGCCTCTACCTAATGTCTTACCTGTGAAATCTTCATGTGTGAGGTACTCACACACTAATAGAAATGCATCAGCGCAGGGATTTAAGCTCTGTAGCAGAATCTGCAGCAACTGCTCTTACACTTTAAAGATGTCTGCTTCTAGAGCTAAACTGTGAGAGGAGGCTCAGTCATGGGAGAGGGTAGGAGCGGGGTCTGGGGACGACTGCAGCCCCCGAGTGCCTTGCTCCAGTGGCGTCAGCCCTGCAGGCTGTGCCCTGCCTCAGGGAGCAGCAGTCTGGCTGGTAGGAGGGCTGGAATCTGGATCCCGAACCCCCATGTTCTTACCAATACGGCTCTGGAGCAGAGCTGGGGCCCCTGCAAGCCTGGGCACCGGGGTGGACTCGTCGGTGGCCAGGCCAGCACCGCTACAGTCTCCTGCTTCCTCGGGATCCCAGCTCCCTTCCTCCTGGTCCTCCATTTCGGCATCACTATCCCCCAGCCTTGGGAGCGTCACAGTCTCTGCATGGCCGTCTGTGGCTCTGATGGCTGTCCGAGCCCTGGCCAGGGCCTCCAGCTCCTCATAGAAGGGGCAGGTCCCTGGCGGGTGGCTGCTCTTGGCTTTCCGGTAATTCCGCAGGAGGTTTTTGACCCTGTAGCGACACTGCTCCAGCGTCCGCAAGAAGCCCCGTGCTCTCAGCCGCTCTGCGATGGCTCGGTACACCTGGCGGTTCTGGTGACAGGTCCGGAGCTTTTCAGAGAAAGGAGACTCACTCAGAATCGCCAGGAAGGTCTTGGTCTCCTCGTAGCCCCAGTGCACACCAGACACCTTCATGTCCTCCGCGTCCCCGTGGCACTGCTCTTCCCAGGCCCTCGAGTCCCTCCAGGCCAGTGCCTGAGCTGCTGCCACTTGCTCGTCATCCAGGCTGTAATCTGCAGTGCTCTTTTTCCCAGCGTTCACGAGGCGTGGATCCCAAGATTCTGGCCCTTGCCCTGGCCGGGAGGTGACGGTGGGTTTTGAAACTGGAACTCCTATATAAAAGGAAGGCGAGAATGACTGAGCAGAAATGACCTGCTGAGCAGAGTTTGTCCAAATGTCCCAGGAACTGCCACCCTTTCCCTGCAAGAGGCTGAGGGGAAATCCCATGTGACTCCCCGGAACTATCTGGGGGGATGGAAAGAGGTACCCGAGGGAGCAGGACGGCTCCGGAGTGCTAAGTGGCCTGTTGGCTGCGATCACTCGCTTTTGTCGGTGTGAGGAAATATCACACAGAGGAGTGGCCACACTGGCCCCGAGGCGGGCACCTGGCCTCCACCGTCCCAGTCACAATTCAATGGCTGGAGGAAAGGGTGTGCGTGTGCGTGCGGGGAGTCTCTCCTCTAGGAAGCCTGTGCTCTCCACTGCCACCAGAATCTGCCTTCTGGCCATGCCATGAGACAAAACGGCTGTGACACAATTACTGAGGACGACAGAGAGGAAGGAGGAACCCTGGCCCGGAGGGCGCCGCTGGGCTCCTCTGCACGGCAGCTGGAGCACGTCCTCCTCGGGGTTTCTAAACATGTCAGAAAGCACGTTATTTTTAAAGGCCGTCAGCTATGTTAAAAGACTGTTGTCCCAACAGCTCCCAGCCCCAACACAACGGGAAGGTTTTAACTGAAGAGAACTAGAGGAGGAGGAGGTTGGGGCTACAGAGGCTTCCGGACGATGCGGTCCAGAGCTCCCGCCTGTTCCTCGGAGCACTCCCTCGCAGGCACCCGTGGAAAGAGACCCCCACTGCCAAGCAAGCAGCAACCAGCCTCCTTCCTGGGCTGACCTGCCCGCGTGTCAGACCCAGCAGCCTCCTCCACGCTGCCCTCACAGTGGCCCCAGGCTGTGGGGAATGGCTCACTGCTATCTGGCTCTCCAGCAGGAGTGCCTACCGAGACAGGACCTGTGCTACCCAGGTGGACTTCAAGCATTGGGTTGTCAGAAAAGCCACGGCCTATTTTTCTATGTAAAAATGCATCATGACCGGGACCAGCAGATGACATAATGGCTACATCACTGGACTCCTGTGTAGTCAAATGCAGTTCAAGTCCCAGACCCAGAGGCTTGAAACTCATGCCAGGCATATGTGTGTACATGCCCAAGATCCCGAGAGGTGACTGGAAGAGAAGAGACTGTGGCATGGCCATCCCCTTTCTTCCGTCTGTCTGTCTCTGTCTCTCCAGTGAGCACACACACCCTATAGCAAAAATCTCTCAAGCATCTTGACTTTTCTAACAACCCAGTATTTTGAGCCCTGTGATATTCATTTCTTGTTGTAGTCTAATATATCAGACTCAAGGGCTCAGTTCACTGGAGTCTGACCCTGAAAGACCCACAAGGTCAGGTTTTAGGGACGGTAGGCTGGGCCCAGGCCCAGTATTGTGGTGGATGCAAAGAAGACAATAAGCCCAGGAGAGCGGGCTCATGGAAGCATCCTGAAGCCTCTCTCCATGCAGACTCCAGCCCCGCACCCGCACTGCAGTCGGCTGTGAAGAGTAAGTCCTCTTCCTAGCGCTGAAACTCCAGAGACTCCGGAGCCATGGCTCTGACAGGAATGGCAACACCCGCTGAGAACCAGGTATACCAGAAACCTGCCGGCACCTTCAGAGCGCACACTTCCTTACCCAGGCACACGCTGTCCCCACAGTTGTCTCCTGGGGAGTCCCTGCAGAACTCCACGCCATGCTTGCCAGGGCCTAGGGCTTCCTGTGAGGTGCACAAGAGAAGCAACTCAAATGTCACCAACCTTTGGAAATAGCCTGGAGACCCTACCAGGCCCTAGGAGGGGATCTCTAGAATACAGGGACACCCCATTAGCGGCTAGCGTCCCAAAGAGCATATGCAGGGCCTAGCAGCCACGGGCAGGACTCAGGCCAGCACCCTGGGTCTTGGGCCCGTTCTCTGCAGGAGCTCAAGAACAACACTCACTTGGGGGCAAGGGCACAGGAGTGGAAATGACAGGAAAGGAAAAACAAGTAGCCACTTACCTGGGACTCAGCTGTCACCTCCCAATCTCCAATGCTCCCCATCTTTGGGAGAGTAGGGGCACGGGGAGTGAGGACAGCTGAGGGAAAGGAAAAAGTCCCTGACACGCAAGCTCTGTTCCCAGCAACCACTTCCCACCAAGACTCAGCTTTCCGATGGTCATCATGCTTGGATCAAGCTGAGACCTGGCCTGCAGCCAGCACAGAATTCCCCTTTTACGTCCCTTCTAGTGATGTGGCTCCTGCACCCCCTAACGATGTGCCACAGGCCAGCCCCGAACTCCTGTGACCACCACCGGCCCCATCCTGCACAGCCTGTGCGTGACTCCCTCTGGGGGCCATGCCAGCACTGCTGGGAGCTGCCTCCTCTTCTAGCAAGCTTACCGACCTGATTTCCCAGGACGAGAGTCCCCGCACACCGCCCCGTCCTCCGCCTTGAATTCTGCACATCCTTCCTCCCCAGAAACCCTTCGTTTCCCCCCACCGCTCTCCCTGGAGGTTCTGAAAGACACCATTCTCCAGTGTCCCCAGGTCCTGCATCCTTACCACTCTCTCTCAGGGGCTGTGGAGCCATCTTGGCATTCAGATGATTGGGACGGTCAGGCCCGGCACTCTTCACCCACTGGTTCTGGGACTGTCCCTCAGGCCAGGGAGTCACGGGCTGCAGCTGGAAGCTCTGGGACTCGTGTCCCACCTCTAAGAGTCTGGCCTCCTCTGGACCTGGCTGCAGTTCCTACACACAGATGGCCAAATTCCCCATCGTCAGTTCACTGAGACCCACTCTGGTAGGGCAGGGCATGTTACTCTGAGTGCAATGACAGTCCAGAGGTTAAGAGGCTCTTTAAACCCAGCGACGGCTTCAAGTATGAGGAGAAAGCGGTCAGTAAGCAGACAGGCATTTACTCCGGAAAAGACCTGTCTTGTTCAGAGCAGGGACACTATGTAACTGCCTCTGTGAGGCTGTTCAAATAGCTTTAACTCATAAAGATACAAACCATGTAAAATTTTCATGACACTAAAAAATAATCCAGGGTCGGTCCCATAGCCTAATGGTTAGGGGAGCCCGACCCTGCCTGGCTGATTAAGGAGTTTGAACTCTGCTTCCCCCCACCTCCTGCAACCTGAAAACACACCTCCACACTGTGCACGAGCACCCCAAATCCTGGCAGAACGGGAAAGGGAGAAGGGACTGCAGTATGACCGTGCACCGGGGGGGCTTCTCCCTCTCCCTCTGTATGCCTTTAGCACACTGCAAACTTAAAAAGAAAAAAAAAAAAAAAAAAAAAAACCTTTAAGCATAAGAAACAAGCTGCTAACTTGTTAAGTTATCAAGAAAGATAAAAGTTAACAAAATATGGGACCAGCAGATGATGTGATGGTTATGTTGCTGGACTCCCATGTAGTGGACTGTAGTTCGAGTCCTGGACCTGGCGACTTAAAACTCAGAACAGGCACATGTGCATTCATGCCCAAGATCCTAAGGGGAGAATGAAGAAGGGATCATGGGATGGCCGTTCCCCTGGGGGATGATCTCTCACTTTCCATCTCTCTCTGGCGAACGCACATGCCCTATAGCAAAAATCTCCCTTAAAGGAAAAAAAGAGGAGCATGCCAGGCTTTCTGTTCTTAACAGGGCCTGCCTTCAGGTGAAACTGTTTACCAAAGCCTGACCTAACTGGCAAGAGGGAACTGGGAGACTCCCGCTCCTCTGCTCTTCTACAGGGAGGATGCGAAATTCCCAACTGCAGTCTCTGGTCATCCTGTCCCACCTAAGGTGTATGTGTGCTGGGGGGGCAGGGGAGGTGAAAAGCCCTAGTGAGGTTTAGAGTTCGAGGGCATAAATACGCACATCACAGACTGACACCTAGTCACAGGCCTTCTCCCATACCTTATCGCTACATTACTAAAGGCCTAGTCACCCGTTTCTTCCAACAAATTACACAGCATACTGAAAGGCAAAAACACAGTTCAAAGACAAAGAACAAGCAAATAAAATCCAACACGTATGAAAACTAGCACACCTCACAACCACGTGGGATTTATTTCAGGTCTACAAGGCCAGTTCATCATTTGAAAACCAGTTCATGTAATTCACCACGTAATCGGCTAAAGAAGAAAAACACACGATCATATCGATCGCTGCAGAAAAGGCCTGTGATAAAATTTAACACTTAGTCGTGATAAAATGCTCAGAAGGAGCTGGCCAGTGGCTCAGCAGTAAAACAGCGCTCTACGGCACTGACCCGGGTTACAAGATTACAGGCTCACGTCCAGGCTTCCATGTATAGTGGACGTGTATGCCCAAAATCCAAAACTGGCTGTAGACGCAGGTGGATCACAGTGCTCAGAGCCTGCTGACCTCTCTGTCTCTGTTGCTCATGGAAGAAACAAATAAATACACTTTAAAACAAACAAACAAACAAACAAACAAAAAACACCTCAGCAATCTAGGAATTTAAAAATTTACAAAACATCTACAACCAGCATCCTGCTTGATGGTGAGACGCAGGGAGCTCTTACCCTAAGAACAGGAGCAGGGCGAGGAGGCTCCTTCTCTTTCTTCCTTTTCAACATCATACTGGAGAGTCTGTCGGGTCACCGGAGAAGTCATGACATGTTTGCATAGAAAAATAGCTCATGACTTTCCTGATGACCCATTAGATAGTACAGTAACACATACCAAAAAAAGGTCACCCGTTTCTTCCAACAAATTACACAGCATACTGAAAGGCAAAAACACAGTTCAAAGACAAAGAACAAGCAAATAAAATCCAACACGTATGAAAACTAGCACACCTCACAACCACGTGGGATTTATTTCAGGTCTACAAGGCCAGTTCATCATTTGAAAACCAGTTCATGTAATTCACCACGTAATCGGCTAAAGAAGAAAAACACACGATCATATCGATCGCTGCAGAAAAGGCCTGTGATAAAATTTAACACTTAGTCGTGATAAAATGCTCAGAAGGAGCTGGCCAGTGGCTCAGCAGTAAAACAGCGCTCTACGGCACTGACCCGGGTTACAAGATTACAGGCTCACGTCCAGGCTTCCATGTATAGTGGACGTGTATGCCCAAAATCCAAAACTGGCTGTAGACGCAGGTGGATCACAGTGCTCAGAGCCTGCTGACCTCTCTGTCTCTGTTGCTCATGGAAGAAACAAATAAATACACTTTAAAACAAACAAACAAACAAACAAAAAACACCTCAGCAATCTAGGAATTTAAAAATTTACAAAACATCTACAACCAGCATCCTGCTTGATGGTGAGACGCAGGGAGCTCTTACCCTAAGAACAGGAGCAGGGCGAGGAGGCTCCTTCTCTTTCTTCCTTTTCAACATCATACTGGAGAGTCTGTCGGGTCACCGGAGAAGTCATGACATGTTTGCATAGAAAAATAGCTCATGACTTTCCTGATGACCCATTAGATAGTACAGTAACACATACCAAAAAAAGGGGAAATAAGAGGTATGCAGATTGGGAAGGAAAAAATGAAACTTTTTGTTAGTAGATAACACGACTGTAATTAGAGAATATCAGGAAAAAACTGACCAGAAGAAACTTCTGGAACTAATAAGTGATTCTAACGATGCTGTAGGACATGAGATTAAAATATAACAGCTGGGCCCAACCACATGGCGTGGCAGTTAAGAATGCTGGATCTCCCATGGCTGACCGCGTCATTCAATCCCAGCCCTAGAAGACTGAGAAACACGCCCAGCATGTGTGCATGCATGCTCAAAACCCCTACAGGACAGAGAAGTGGGAGAGAAGGGATTGCGGCATAACCAAACCCGCTTGTTCTCTTTCTCTGTCTCTCTGACAAGTGCATGTGCCCTCTGGCAAAATAAAAATAAATAAATTAAAAACAACAGTTCATTGCTTTCCTAGCAATGAACGAGTGGAATTTGAAATTAAAAGCACAATGCCATTTACATTTCCATCCAAACAAAAATTAAATACTTAAATATAAATATAACAAAATATGTATAAGAGCTACATGAGGGACACTACAAAACTTTGATGAAGATATCAAAAAAGAACTAAATAAATGAAGATATCTTCTATTTTCATCAATCGAAGGACTTTCATCAAGATGCCAGTTCTCCCCAGTTCCATGCAGTCCCAGTCAAAACTCCAGGGAGTTATTTTGTGAATATGGACAACTCGACTCTAAAGTTTAAATGGAGAAGCCAAAGCCCCGGAGTAGCCGACTCGATACTGCCAAGCATAGGTGGTGGTCTACAGCATACTTGTTTGCTTTTGTTTTTTAATTAGCCAGGGGCTAGAGGGGAAGAGGACTTAATAAGTAGAACTGAGATTTCTTACGGTCATAAAACTATTCTATATGACACTGTAACAGTGGACGCATGTCACACATTTAAACCTGTAGAACGTGCACCACCACGAGGGAGCCCGAACGTAAACCACAGACTCTGAGCGGTAATGGTGTGTCAATGTAGGTTCCTGGATGGTGACAAATGTACCACTCTGGGTCAGGGATGCTCATGATAGGGGAGGCTCAAGTGGAGGGGAGGCAAGGGGGATATGAGAAGGCTCTGTACCTTCTGCTCAGTTTTGCCGTTAACCTACAAGTACTCTAAAGAAATGGCCCTTTTTTTTAAATGCTTATGAACTTCATGAGAGAGGGGCTCTACAAGACGGTGATGACAGAAGAAAGCTAAAAATCGTGAAGCAGAGGAGCTGAAATGTCTCTTTTAGGAAAAAATCTTGGAGGTCATTTAGCTGGTAGGGACCAACCTTTTTCAGGAGGGTGGTTTGAGGCACATGGCTGATGTACTTCATCACAATGCTTAGACTCAGAGAGAGTGTGTCTAAGTTACACACCCTGCAGTGTCAGGTCACAAACTACAATATATGGGCCTGAAAAAGACACAACCTCCATCGCTACTTATGTCTGTTTCAGAATTTGCAAGAACTGAGGACCAGGGACACAAAGTTAAAACATAAAAGTCACAGGAAAAAATATACGTATAATAGGGAAGATTCCAATACCTTATTTTTTCTCAATTTTAGAAGCAACTCAACCTTTGGTCAGTTTACAGGGGCGTAATTTGAGAACCTCCGGTCTAGTCCAACCCGCTCATTTCACAGATGAAGAATCATAGTAAGATCTTAATTTAAGTAACTCTCATCTCTGGGTCTCAAGTTCTTCATCTTCCAGCTTTAAAGTCCTAAGACTTCCATTTGTTTCTTCACTGCCACTTAGGACGAATAGCTGATTTCTTTAAAGGAAGTAACATAGGATTTGGGTGGTACATTAAAATAAGGCATACTCTCGTGCTTAGTTCCATAACTTTAAACATTATTCTCTTTGTATCTTCAGTTTGCAAAGGAACCCAAAAAGCAAAGTCACTGAGCTTAAACCTTTCTTCCCCTAATCTCGCTTCTGTGAGGTTATAAAGCTTTCTAGTTTCTGTGTGCAGAAAGCCCCTGCCCTCTACGAGGAATATACTCCCAAACCTATCATTTCCCCGACAAATGTGGTAATGCCGTAAGAACTACTGACTAAGTAGTAAGTAGAGGGCAACAGGGTTATGTTAGGCGAAGGTTCTGGATGGCTGGTTCAGCACAGCCAGCTGAAGAGCCTGTCCCACATACACTATTAATAGCTTCAAGGCAGATTCCAAACTGATGTCACAGCATGGGCCTTTGGGGTGACGTGCAAGTCGCTAAAACTGTGAGTGTCAAATTTGTGATATTTTCACTTCCTCGACCTCAGCCCAAGCTTATTATACACATTTAGACAAGTCACTTTCCCCTCTGCCTGTTTGCCCGTTAGAAAGACGGCAGTGGTGACAGCACCAGCCTCAGAGGGTCCCACCTCAAGGCTGAGAATAGCGCCCGAAACGCAGTGCGCGCTCATGAGTCGGTCACCCCCTCACCCGAGCCTCGTGTCTTACAGGCGCTTTAATCCCTGCAGTGTGCCAACAAGGCTCCCCTCACAGAATGGGGACAGTGACCTGAGGACCCAAGAACCTGGGCTCAGGCCCTGTTTGCTCCATGAGTGAAGTCTGGGAGCCACCTGACTTTAGGGGCCATAGTTTAATCCATGAAATGGG